GGTTGACAGCCTGCCCTGGGAAAGGAAACGTCGCTGCTCCCACCAGTATCACTCCTGTCCCGCTTCCTTCCCATCCTGTGCACTGCTATTGCAAGGAACTGTTTGCTCCAGCTCAACTGGGAAGGGGGTGATGGGGAGAGGTCAGAGCCACAAGGGGACCGATGCTGAGATGCCCTAGGAGGGTGTGCTTTGCTCTGCCCCGGCTCTCAGGCTCGCTGCTTAGAGCATCCTTGGGGGAAAGCCAGGTGTGACAGCCCCAGCTGCCCTCTGCTTCCTCCACAGACAGCTCCAGCCCCCCCAACTCCATCGAGGATGGCTATTATGAGGACGCAGACAGCAACTACCCCGTCACCAGGATGAACGGGGAGCAAAAAAACTCCTGTAGGTATCTGGGTGCCCTCGCCAGGGAGGGGAGAGCTTCAGCAAAGCCCAGCCCTGAGATGGGGCCTTGAGGGCTGGGCTGGGGGCTGGTTGAGGTTGAGCCTCTCACATGTCAGAGGCTGCTGGGCAAAAAGCAAGGAGCATGGAGTGCTGCTTGTCATGCAAGCCAGAGACCTCATGCTGCAGAAGGGATGTAAGTGGTGCTGTGTCAGTCACCAGCACGGGGAAGGGATGTCCCTGCCTGTGCAGCTCTCGTGCCCTGTGCGAGCTGCCTCAGCCGTGGCACTGGAGGGCTGGGGCAGGGACACCCCATGCAGGAGGCGTGGGGCAGAGGGCCGGCACGTGATCCTCTGTTGTGGGTAGGTTTAGTCCAGGCTTTCGAATGTGAGGCGTGCGAAGAAATAAGCCAGCCCAGGGGTTTGAATAGATGCACCTGGGACTGGCGTTTGGCCCATGAGCATCCTGCCTGGTTTGAAAGGGAAATGGAGACAGCTGGGGTCAAAACGCTGCTGTTTTCGGGGGGTGATGTGGAGTCCGTCCATTGTGGCACCCAGCCAGGCTCTGTGCTAGAGCCCCCCGGGTGTGGGGAGCCCTGGCAGTATGCAAGCGTGCCCAGCAGGCAGGGCCCCGGGGTGCCACTTGGGGTGACGCGCCTGGTTCCTTCCAGACAATGACTCGGATGCAATGAGCAGCTCTTACGAGTCGTATGACGAGGAGGAGGAAGAGGGGAAGGGCCAGCAGCTGACACACCAGTGGCCGTCAGAGGAAGCCTCCATGAACCTGGTGAAGGATTGCAGGATTTGCGCTTTCCTGTTGCGCAAGAAGCGCTTTGGACAGTGGGCCAAGCAGCTCACCATCATACGGGATGGCAAACTGCTGGTGAGCACAGAGCTCTGTGGGGACAGAAACCTGCTGGTGGGTTGGGAGGGAGGTTGGGTCCAGGCTGAAGACCCTGCCCCAAGGGTCCTGCAGAGCACATGCAGGGGCTGCCCTCGTTTCCCTTGCAGGCAAATGGAGGGCTCCCCTTTTTTGGGATCCTGTGGACTGAGAGGGAACCTGACAGCCATCTGCCACTGAGGGTCTTACAGAGCCTGAGCCACCTCTGTCTGTGCCACCTGAGAGGGACCCTGAGAGGGACCTCACCTCTGCCCAGGACGGCAGTGGGATGGGCAGGTTTTGACTGAGCCCTGAACGGTTCCCTTTGCTTCCCCTAGTGCTACAAAAGCTCCAAGGACCGGCAGCCGCACGTGGAGGTGCCCCTGGGGACCTGCAATGTCATCTACGTCCCCAAGGATGGGCGGCGCAAGAAGCACGAGCTGCGGTTCTCGCTGCCGGGAGCCGAGGCGCTGGTGCTGGCCGTGCAGAGCAAGGAGCAGGCTGAGGAGTGGCTGAAGGTACTGTGGCTGCCCCCCCCTCGCCTGGGGGCTGCAGATCCTCCTTGGCATCCTCCTTGGCTGAGGTGGGGAGGGGGCTGCCCTGGGAAAGGTCTTGCCCCCTGGAAGGGGCTTTGCTCCCATCTCTTATCAGTCGGGGGGGGCTTGGCCAGCTGCTTCCCAGGGCCTGGGCGTCTCCAGCGCTGATAGCCCTGCGGGGTGGGGATGTTTGCTCTCCCTCCCCTCTTCCCCATGGCCCTTTCCTGCCTTTGTTCAGGGGTGGGAGGCGGGGGCCGAGGGGAAGGGGCTGCGGGTGGGGAAGGAGCCCCTGTGCAGATCGCCAAGGAAAAAAAAACCCCAAACGTGGGAGAACAGGGTTGTCTTCCATGGCCTGGGCAAGCCACACTGTGCCTGCCTGTAAAACGAGGGGTCATGAGGTGTCCTGAGCTGGCACAATGACTGCGCGGCTTGGTGCCCAAGCCCCTCACCTCTGAGATTTCCAAAATCTCTGACAAAATCTGCAAAACTGGTGGTAGTTTTGAAGGGGTCAGGGTGTGTGCAATCCCCCAGGGAATTTGGGTGTGTGCCCCAGGGAGGACTCACTGTCCTGTCCTGCAGAGACCAAGACCTCTCTCCTGTGGTTCAGCCTGGCTCTGGCGGTGGGACAGGAGTGTCCTGAGCCAAGGAAAGTAGCCCTGGTCCTCGAGTCCATTTTGAGTGGCTGATCCCTGAAGGTGATAAAGGAAGCCAGCAGTCCGGCAGCGGGCGGGATGGAAGCCCCCACCTCCCCGGTGATGCCATGCAAGATGGACCTGGATAAGGTGATGGTTTCTCACCACCCTGCCAAGGTGCTGTGTGGGGCTGCTGCAGCCGAGCACAGGGGACGTCGGGCCAGGGGAGCACCAAGCTCCTGGTGCCACGCGAGGAGTCCTTCCCATCCTCGCAGCAGCTCTGTGGGGCTTGTGGGGCTCCACACCAGTGGGGAAGGGGAACGGGGCTCCCATGGCACTGGGGGACGTCCCAGCCCTGCACAGGAGGGATGAAGGGCCAATGGTGGCTGTTGCTGGGGGCTGCACAGGGGGATGCTGCTGACGGGTGCCTGCTCCGCTCCCCCGGCAGCGGCTGTCGCAGGAGAAGCGCACCTCTGACTCAGACTGACTCAGACAGCGTGGCAGCAGGCGAGACTGGCTCCCCGGCAGCCCGCAGAGAGCCCAGCGAGCACGGTACGGCCCCTGCCCCCAGCCTGGTGGGCTGTCAGCCCAGCC